TTTTAGAAGTTAAGGATAAATGACCTACGTGGAATGAAAGGGGGAAAGAGGAGAGAGCTGCAGTGTCCATTATATGCACCCCTTCCACACAAGAGTTTAATGAATGAATTTTATAAAATATATTAACCCCATTTTGCATACAAGGAATCAGAGCCTCAGAGGACTTAACGATACTTGGACAAGATGATTATAACGGCCGGGAGCGGTGGCTCACGCCTGTAATACCAACACTTTGGGAGGCTGAGGCAGGTGGACCACCTGAGGTCGGGAGTTCGAGATCAGCCTGGCCAAGATGGTGAAACCCTGTCTCTACTAAAAATACAAAAATTATCCGGGTATGGTGGCGCGTGCCTGTAATCCCAGCTACTAAGAGGACTGAGGCTGGAGGATCGCTCGAACGTGGGAGGCGGAGGTTGCGCTGGGCCAAGATCGTGCCACTGCACTCCAGCCTGTGCAATAGAGCAAGACTCCGTCTCAAAAAAAAAAAAAAAGATGATTGTAACTAGAGAGTGATAGTGGAAAGAACATTGGCTGTGGAGTGAGATAAGCCGGAACCAGAATCCCAGGTCAACCTATTACTAAATCACCTGACCTTGAGTAAGCAAATTACCTGATCCTGTTTCTTCATAGGCATTTGTATTGTCACTTCTTGAGCATCTAACAGCCCTTTGAGGTAGGTATCAATGTCCTCCTTTTACAGAAACTAAGTTTTAGACTAAACTTGTCCACGGTTCCACAACTAGCAAAAACAGTCTACCTATTTTCAAGGACAGTGCTATTTACTGCTATACTGTGTTAGCTAATAATACCTACCTCATAGTTAGGAGGTTTAAATGCGATAACGTGTATATGTGCATGGCATGTACTAGGTCTTTAATAAATGGTAGTTCCCCTTTAGTCATCCATTATTCTTAGAAGTCAAGACACTTCCCCTTCTTCCTTTTTGCCCTCTCCCCCAGAAGGCCAGGCAAAAGGCAGGAATGAGGAGCAGCAGATAGTGACAAAGAGGAACTTGGAGGAGGGGTTTTGCACCCCTGCCCTTTAATGTCCATCTGATATACAAAACAGTCATTTTCTTAATCTTATGTAAAGGACTATGTGCATGTATTTTCAAGCCCTACCAATTGCTGTCGCTAATCCACCCACCCCTCACTATAGAAATTTTGGATCCTCTCTTCATGTATGAGAAACAGGTTGACCTTTCTGTAGTCCAGAGGGAGGCAAAGGACCAGTCCTGGCGCAGCTTAACCTGAACAAAGTTCAAAAGTACTTCCTTGCCCTCCAAGAAACATAAACTTCCTGGTGTTGGAGGTATTGATACAATCATCGTAATAGGAATAAAAATTCTGCTCCTTCATAGTGTGCTTTTTCAGAGAACTTTTTTTGTTTTATTGTGTTTTGTTTTTGAGACAGAACCTCGCTCTGTCACGCAGACTGAAGTGCAGTGACGCTGTCTCGGCTCGCTGCAACCTGCACCTCCCAGGTTCAAGCGATTCTCCTGCCTCAGCTTCCTGAGTAGCTGGGTTTACAGGCGCGAGCCACCATGCCTGGCTAATTTTTGTACTTTTAGTAGAGATGGGGTTTCACCATGTTGGCCGGGCTGGTCTCAAATTCCTGGGCTCAAGCAATCGTCCTGCTTTGGCCGGCCTCTCAAAGTGCTGGGATTACAGGCATAAGCCATTGTGGCCAGCCTCAGAATTTTCATGCCTCTCATCTTTGTCCTGTTCTCCATAACAAATCATACATAATCGCCATTCCAGTTTTCCACTTTTTATATGGAATCATGATTATAGGTTTTCATAAAAGACTTCTAGGAGCCATTAGGAAAGGCCTTCTTGGAGGAAGTGAAAAATACCTACTGAGACCTGAAGGATCAGCATGGAAAAAGAGTGGCCATGTTCCAGGCAGAGGGAACTGCATGGGCCAGGACCCCTAGGATGAGATAACTTAGTGTTTTCAAGGAATGTATAGCTCAGAAATATTACAAAGCAGAGTGTGGGAATAGGCTGGTGAAGGTTGAGGCTAGATCCAGAGCAAACTTTCAAAGACTCAGTAAACAATGTAGGCTTTCTCCTTGGGTAATTAAAAAACTTCTTGGTGGTGTCTGGGCACGGTGGCTCACACCTCTAATCCCAGCACTTTGGGAGGCCGAGGCGGGCAGATCACGAGGACCATCCTGGCTAACATGGTGAAAGCCAGTCTCTACTAAAAATACTAAAGATTAGCCAGGTGTGGTGGTGGGCGCCTGTAGTCCCAGCTACTCAGGAGGCTGAGGCAAGAGAATGGCGTGAACCCGGGAGGCGGAGCTTGCAGTGGCGGAGGTCCGCGCCACTGCACTCCAGCCTGGGGGACAGAGCGATACTCCGTCTCAAAAAAAAAAAAAAAAAAACTTCCTGGTGTTGGAGGTATTGGTACAATCATTGTAATAGGAATAAAAATTCTGTTCACTACAAAGGCAATAAACTAAGATTTATATCCAGCTTCCCTCCCTTACCCTTTTTTTTTTTTTTTTTTTTGACAGGGAGTTTTACTCTTGTTGCCCAGGCTAGAATGCAATGGCACAATCTCGGCTCACCACAACCTCCACGTCCGGGCTCAAGCGATTCACTTCCCTCAGCCTCCTGAGTAGCTGGGATTACAGGCATGTGCTACCACACCCAGCTAATTTTGTGTTTTTAGTGGCGACAGGGTTTCTCCATGTTGGTCAGGCTGGTCTCCAATTCTCCACCTCAGGTGATCCGCCCGCCCTGGCCTCCCAAAGTGCTGGGATTACAGGTGTGAGCCACCTCACCCAGCATCTTTTTTTTTTTTTTTTTTTTTTTTTTGAGACGGAGTCTTCCTCTGTCGCCCAGGGTGGAGTGCAGTAGTGAGGGCTCGGGTCACTGCAACCTCCGCCTCCCTGGTTCAGGCGATTCTTATGCCTCAGCCTCCCGAGTAGCTGGGACTACAGGCACCTGCCATCACGCCTGGCTAATTTTTTGTTTTGTTTTTTGAGACAGAGTCTTGCTCTGTTGCCGAAGCTGATGTGCAATGGCTCAATCTCGGCTCACTGCAACCTCTGCCTCCCGGGTTCAAGCGATTCTCCTGCCTCAGCCTCCCGAGTAGCTGGGATTACAGGCACTCGCCACCATGCCCAGCTAATTTTTTGTATCTTTAGTAGAGACGAGGTTTCACCATGTTGACCAGGCTGGTCTGGAACTCCTGAACCTGTGATCCGCCTGCCTTGGCCTCCCAAAGTGGTGGGATTATAGGCGTGAGCCACTGTGCCTGGCTTAATTTTTGTATTTTTAGTAGAGGCGGGGTTTCACCATCTTGACCCACCTGGTCTGGAACGCCTGACCTCAAGTGATCTGCCTGCCTCTGCCTCCCAAAGTGTTGAGATTACAGGTGCGAGCCACCGCACCTGGCCCCCTACACTTTTCTAATTAGTGAAATTAATCTTTTTCGGAGAAGAACACAGATTTACATTCTCATTTTAATCTACCTATTAGAAAACTTTTAAAGAACTGGGCGCTGTGGCTCACGCCTGTAATCCCAACACTTTGGGAGGCTGAGGTGGTTGGATCACCTAAGGTTAGGAGTTTGAGGCCAGCCTGGCCAATATGGTGAAACCCCATCTTTACTAAAAATACAAAAATTAGCCAGACGTGGTGGTGCATGCCTGTAATCCCAGCTACTGTAGGGCAGAGGCAGGAGAATTGCTTGAATTCGGGAGGCGGAGGTTGCAGTGAGCCGAGATTTTGCCAATGCACTGCAGCCTGGGCAACAAAGTGAGACTCCGTCTCAAAAAAAAAAAAAAATTAGCCGGGCGTGGTAGTGCGGGCCTGTAATCCAGCATAGAAGACAAGAACGAAGATCCCTCTCAAAAAGAAAAAAAAAAACTTTCCTTTTTTTTGTTTTTTTTTTTTTTGAGATGGAGTCTCGCCCTGTCCCTGTCTCCCAGGCTAGAGTGCAGTGGTGCCATCTTGGCTCACCGAAACTGCCGCCTCCCGGGTTCAAGCGATTCTCCTCCTTCAGCCTCCCTAGTAGCTAGGACTACAGGTGCATGCCACCATGCTCAGATAATTTTTGTATTTTTAGTAGAGATGGGGTTTCACTATGTTGGCCAGGCTGGTCTGGAACTCCTGACCTCGTGATCTGACCACCTCGGCTTCCCAAAGTGCTGGGATTACAGTTGTGAGCCACCGCGCCTGGCAAAAAACAAAAAACAACAAAAAACAAACAAAAAAACTTTTCAAGAACAAAGTTGATCGAGGTAGGAAGAAACTAAGGAGACACTGTTCAACAGTCTTCTAGGCAGGACCTCGCCTAGAATAGCTGAGATTTCTATTTTCTATGTGTGTTCTTCCAGATGACTGTTTCAAACTCTGTCGCGGGTGTGTGCCAATCCTCTTCCCATACCAACACTGTTACTATCTCTTGGTTTCATCTGCCTAAGCAGGGTTTTGGATGGCAGGAAGATGGGGGTGGGGGAAGCAAGGGAAGAACTGGGAGGAAGTGTGACTTTGCGCTGTATGTGAGAATTCGCCTTTTTAGGGAAGACCCCTCAAAATCAAGAGACTTATCTGTCAGCCTCCAAATTAATAGCGGGCGATTTAGAAAGGAAGAGTCTTGAGGTAGGCGAGTATGGGGTGAACTGATTAGGTGTGTATGCAAATTTAGGATCCCGCTTCAGCTCCCAGGAGGAGGGGCTGTCTGCAGCCTTTTCTCCAGAGGATCTCAGATTTTTTTTTTTTGCTTTTTTTTTTTTGGTGGATATTGGTACTGGAGAAGAGGGGTCCGGTCGGGAAAGAATCCTGGCCCTGAAGATTACATATCTGCCTTCGCATCAGCAGAGCAGGGACGCTGGGAGCGCGGGCAGCCCGCCGGCTAGTCCGTCCCCTGACCCGGAACCGCACCGCTGCCGCCGCTAGCCGGCTGCCCACGTGCCGGCAACAGCGGCCACGTGGGGCCCTGAGGAAACGCCTTTATAAAGGTTTGTCCCCTACGCTGCCCAGTAGGAAGGAAAACCGGAGCAGAGCGCAGGAGGAAACAGTACCGGCTGGAGGACTGTCTTGCAGGAGCCGGGGACTGCCGGGGGCGGGTCCGGGGGCGGGGCTTGGTGATGACCGCTGGTGGGGCGGGGCCTCGGACTCAGAGGGGTGGGCTTTAGAGAGGCGCGGGCCGACGCTGCTTCGGTGTCTGGACATTTTGGCTTCGGTCCTGGAGCAAGCCCTGGCCTCGTCGGTAGCTGGGCCGCCATGGAGTCCACACTGGGCGCGGGCATCGTGATAGCCGAGGCGCTACAGAACCAGCTTGCCTGGCTGGAGAACGTGTGGCTGTGGGTCACCTTTCTGGGTGATCCCAAGATCCTCTTTCTGTTCTACTTCCCCGCGGCCTACTACGCGTCCCGCCGTGTGGGCATCGCGGTGCTCTGGATCAGCCTCATCACCGAGTGGCTCAACCTCATCTTCAAGTGGTGAGACAGAGAAGCCCTCCGGCATCCTGGTCCCCACCCCTGAGGGCCCTGAGTCATGTGTAAGCCCTGATCTCTCTCAGCAACTGTCTCAAGGGCCTTCCCACCCCCTACTCTGTAGTCTCTGATTTTTTTTCCCTTTGAGCATCTTTGTGCCGCTTGGACTCAAACCTCAGAGTCTACCCATCCTACTCATTAGACCAGTGTTCTTCAAACTGGTCTAATCAAAAAATCACCTAAGAGGCGTGCCTAAAATGTAAATATCTCGTCCTCGTCTCACACTTACTGATTTAGAAACTCCAAAGGGTTGGGAATTTATTTTTTATTTTTGGTTTTTGGGAATTCATATTTTAACAGATATCTATGGTGATTTAAGTAGTGGAGAGCCCTACCTCTCAACTCACTTTTTCATTCATCTATTCACTCATTTGCTATAATTTTTAAGAAGCATGCTTTGTGCTGGGCATCACAGTAGCTGCTACGGACAGAGACAGCTTGCAGGTTAAGGTGTGGTCCCTGGACCATGCCCAACGGCACAGGCAGCACCTGAAAACTGACTAGAAATGCAGACTCTCAGTCCCAGGGCCAGGATGACAGAATCAAAATCTGCATTTTAACAGGGTTCCCAGGTGATTCCCTGTGCGTGTGCAGTAAAGTCTGGGCTAAAGCACTGCTTTCCAGGGAACACTTTCCCTTCCTTCTCTTTCATTCACTAGTAGACTCTTCACACTGAGACTTAGAAGCCAGGGATCCCAGGAACATGGGTGGAGGCCCTGTAACCCTTGGGGCTGGGCATGCAGCCACACCTCCCTTCACCTCAACCTCTGTTGCCAGATCCTCAGTCTGGGGGAAGAAAGGGAGGCTCATAGGAGGTATTTCAATGGGCTCGAATGACTTGCTGAAAAACAACATAGAGTTCCCCTCCCTTCCACTCTTTTCCACAAGGGCCTCATCCTTGTGTAAAGGGAACCACAGTGGTCTATTCACTTATTTCTTGCCTAATTGCCCTTTGCTTTGTGCTCTCTCCTCCCTCAAAGTCTGTATAAGCCTCCCCCTCTAGTTCTTGTCCCCCAAAGATCACAATCTCCCTCAGACACTATTAATGTCCCCCAAGTGGCAAAGTCCCTATTCATTTTCTTTTTTTTTTTTTTGAGACGGAGTCTCGCTCTGTTGCCCAGGCTGGAGTGCAGTGGCCGGATCTCAGCTCACTGCAAGCTCTGCCTCCTGGGTTTACGCCATTCTCCTGCCTCAGCCTCCCGAGTAGCTGGGACTACAGGCACCCGCCACCTCGCCCGGCTAGTTTTTTGTAATTTTTAGTAGAGACGGGGTTTCACTGTGTTAGCCAGGATGGTCTCGATCTCCTGACCTCGTGATCCGCCCGTCTCGGCCTCCCAAAGTGCTGGGATTACAGGCTTGAGCCACCGCGCTGGCCTCTTTTTCTTTTTTTTAAGACAGAGTTTCGCTCTTGTCACCCAGGTTGGAGTGCAATGGCGTGATCTTGTCTTACTGCAACCTCCACCTCCTGGGTTCAAGCCATTTTCCTACCTCAGCCTCCCAAGTAGCTGGGATTATAGGTGTGTGCCACCAGACTCAGCTAATTTTTGTATTTTTAGTAGAGAAGGGGTTTCGCCTTGTTGGCGAGGCTGGTCTCAAACTCCTGACCTGTGGTGATCCACCTGCTTCAGCCTCCCAAAGTGCTGGGATTATAGGTGTGAGCAACCTGGCTTTTTTTTTTTTTTTTTTTTCTTTTTGAGATGGAGGCTTGCTCTGTTGCCCAGGCTGGAGTGCGATGGCACCATATTGGCTCACTACAACCTCTGTCTCCCAGGTTCAAGAGATTCTTCTGCCTCAGTCTCCCATGTAGCTGGGATTATAGGCGCCCACCACCACACCCAGCTAATATTTGTATTTTTAGTAGAGAAAGGGTTTCGCCATGTTGGCCAGGCTGGTCTCCAACTCCTGGCCTCAAGTGATCCGCCCTCCTCTGCCTCCCAAAGTGCTGGGATTACAGGCATGAACCACCACGCCTGGCACCCCCATTCATTTTCTGTGTGAGCACTTGATGTATACTAGGCTCAGTTTTCAGAGGGGAGAGGCAAGTGCCTTCTGTGTTTCCCTGCCCAGCACGTGGTTTCCTGCCAGCATCTCTTTTGCTATCCCATCTTTTGTCTTTCTGGCCACAGCAGCCTCTTCATTGTGTGGTTCCCAGGGCCTAGCCAAGCACTTACTAGACCAGGGGATTTTGACATATTTTTGTCCTCCTTATTCTTTCTCAGCCTTCTCTGTCCATTTCCCACTCCCATTTTCAGACCTGAGAGGCTCACCTAAATAATTTAGGTGTGGATAATTCAGGCTGTAACTGGGGACATGGAGGCAGGGGTAGCAGGAGGGTTAGTGAGGGCCTGTGGGAGAGAGCCGGGTCCTGGGTTCCCTGTGGATGATAAGAGCTGGCCCTGCAGTGAGAGGGGATAGAGTGGGACAACTGAGTATCTCAGAGCACACACACATGCTTACCACAATCTCTTGCCTCTGTATCAGTTTTTTTTTTAATTTTATTTATTTTTTCTTTTTTTGAGACAGGATCTCACTCCATCACCAGGCTGGAGTATAATGGCACAATCACAGCTCACTGCAGCCTCAACCTCCTCAGCTCAAGTGATCCTTCCCACTTCAGCCTCTGGAGTAGCAGGGGCTACAGGCGCACCCCAAGATGCCTGGCTAATTTTTGTATTTTTTGTAGAGATGGGGTTTTGTCATGTTGCCCAGGCTGTTCTCGAACTCCTGGGCTCAAGCAATCTGCCCACCCAGCCTCCCAAGTAGCTGGGACTATAGGTGTGCACCACCACTTCCAGCTAATTTTTTGTTTTTGTTGAATCTGGGTCTTGCTTTGTTGCCCAGGCTGGTCATGAACTCCTGGCTTCAAGTGATCCTCCAGCTAAGGCCTCCCAAAGTACTGGGATTACAGTCATGAGCCACTGCACCTGACCCCAGGCTAGTTTTTAAAAATAGTGTTGGCCGGGCGCGGTGGCTCACGCCTGTAATCCCAGCACTTTGGGAGGCCGAGGCGGGCGGATCACAAGGTCAGGAGATCGAGACCATGGTGAAACCCCGTCTCTACTAAAAAAAAAATAGAAAAAAATTAGCCGGGCGCAGTGGCGGGCGCCTGTAGTCCCAGCTACTTGGGAGGCTGAGGCAGGAGAATGGCGTGAGCCCGGAAGGCGGAGCTTGCAGTGAGCCGAGATTGCGCCACTGCACTCCAGCCTGGGCGACAGAGCGAGACTCCGTCTCAAAAAAAAAAAAAAAAATAGTGTTTCCACAGGCTCTGAGGGTTAGGAAAAAAAAGAAATAGTGTGCTTTCTTTCTCCCGTTCTAAGGTAGAAAACCATGGCAAGGTATCCATGGATACCTTAAGAGCAATGGACAGAATCGTAGTCCCTTTTTGACTTCACCCCTCAGGCCCTCCAGCGTACTCCATGTCCTGTCCACCTTGTGCCCCCTGGCTGTGTGTGCATGTGGAGAGTCATCTTGCATCTGTTCTCTTCCAGGTTTCTTTTTGGAGACAGGCCCTTTTGGTGGGTCCATGAGTCTGGGTACTACAGCCAGGCTCCAGCCCAGGTTCACCAGTTCCCCTCTTCTTGTGAGACTGGTCCAGGTGGGAAGCCTCAAACATTCTCCATTTCCCAATGTGGTTAGGGTTCAGGTGAACATTTCAGGGTACTTTTCAGCCTGGGTGGCCCAACCAAAGGTCCAGCCTCTCAATTACTGGCCCAGAGAACAAAGGAACCCCAGGGAGACCAAGCTGAGTTATGGGAGGAGGGCAATCATGCTATGTACCAGCTGCCCACTTTGTGTAGAGTACAGCCAAGAGACACATACCAGGACAGAAACCTGAGTGCAGTGACCTCAGGTGGCAGTAAAAAGGCCTCAGAACAGAGCCAGTTATGGATCAGTGCTGGGGAAAAGCTCTCTTCTCAGCCAGGAGAGACAGCTGTATTATTGAGGCATCACCAGAGGCCCCTGGGTCCTGCCTCCATCTTCTCACCACAAGCTTCTGGATTCGCTGGCAGGCAGCCCTTCTGGACACTGCATGATCACAGGAGCAGCCCTCTGGCCCATAATGACGGCCCTGTCTTCGCAGGTGGCCACTCGGGCCCGCAGGTATGCCCTTGGCATTGCCCACCATTGGGAGCAGGGGTGATGGCACCCTGTACCTAAAAGACCCAGCAGCATGCAGTCTGGGAGCTGGAGTTTTGGGGACCCTAGGTTGTGTGGTTCAACCATGGGGTACCTGGGTGCTGCAGGCTAAGCTGTGTATGGACGCACTCTGAGCTCCTTGCCTCTCTTCTTTCTAGCCGCTGGGTAAGGGTGATGCCTAGCCTAGCTTATTGCACCTTCCTTTTGGCGGTTGGCTTGTCGCGAATCTTCATCTTAGCACATTTCCCTCACCAGGTGCTGGCTGGCCTAATAACTGGTGAGCAACTGGGGCAATGGGGTGGACTGAGAGGATGCCTTTGGCAGTGGGAGGTTCAGTCTAGGATCTTCCCATCGCTCCCAGCTTCTGTAGAGCCCAGCCAAGAGGCCCCCCGTTATAAAATGTCTCAGTTTGTTCCCTTGCCAAGCTGCACTGCAGCTGGGGGTGGGTGTGGGGAGGGTCATATCCCCAAACTCCCTGAAGCTGCCGTCACTCCACTCTCCTAGGCGCTGTCCTGGGCTGGCTGATGACTCCCCGGGTGCCTGTGGAGCGGGAGCTAAGCTTCTATGGGTTGACCGCACTGGCCCTCATGCTAGGCACCAGCCTCATCTATTGGATCCTCTTTACGCTGGGCCTGGATCTTTCTTGGTAAGTCTCGCTTTGAAGCCTGGGCAGGCTGGGCCCTGTCCTATCTCGCCTGCACCTAGCCTGGTATGTCTCTGGTTCATTATAGCTAAAAAAGGACACGTTACCTATTCCCATAGACCCTCACAAGCACAAAGCAGAACATGGGAGTGGGCCCCAAGGGCAGATGGCAAAGAGCCAGTGGCCTTCTACGTTCCAGCCTCTCCTGGCAAGGACTCTTCTTCCCCACAGGTCCATCAGCCTAGCCTTCAAGTGGTGTGAGCGGCCTGAGTGGATACACATGGATAGCCGGCCCTTTGCCTCCCTGAGCCGTGACTCAGGGGCTGCCCTGGGCCTGGGCATTGCCTTGCACTCTCCCTGCTATGCCCAGGTGCGTCGGGCACAGCTGGGAAATGGCCAGAAGATAGCCTGCCTTGTGCTGGCCATGGGGCTGCTGGGCCCCCTTGACTGGCTGGGCCACCCCCCTCAGATCAGCCTCTTCTACATCTTCAATTTCCTCAAGTATACCCTCTGGCCATGCCTAGTCCTGGCCCTCGTGCCCTGGGCAGTGCACATGTTCAGTGCCCAGGAAGCACCGCCCATCCACTCTTCTTGACTTCTTGTGTGCCTCCTTTCCTTTCCCTCCCACAAAGCCAACGCTCTGTGACCACCACACTCCAGGAGGCAGCCCCATCACCTTCCAGCCCCTAAGTAGGCCCTCCCCTCCCTAAATCTGCTTCCCCACCACCTGGTCTTAGTCCCAAAGATGGGCCTTCTCTCTCCCAGAGAAGCTGGTCCTCCCTCTGCCTTTCCTCTCAAGCCCCCCAAGAGCAAAGGCAACAGCAAGACCAGCGGGTTCCTGCAACACTGTGAGGGGCGGCCAGGGCGGCCCCAATAAAGCCCTTGAATACTTTGAGATTCCTTTCTTGCCTATGCGCACATCTCCACAGGCCTTGCCTGTGTGTGCACAAGCGGAACCCTTGCCAGGCTGCTCCAGTGGTCTCTGTGCCACCTCCAGCCCTGTTTCCAGGGGCAGACAGGCAGGAAAGGAGAGGGCTGTAAACTCAGGTGAGACCTCTCAGCCCTAGGTCCATCCCCTGCCTCATCACTGCCTAGGCCACATGAGAGGTCCCATGAGATGCTATGACTATATTCAGTGTAACCCTGTCTTTCACCTACAGGTCAGATCTTGCGCCCCAACCTCCAGTTTCCTAAATTGGCTTCTAGTCCAGGGACTGGAGAAAATAGTGTTTTTGGCTAGGAAGGAGGATGAGAACCTCTATTCCATTTGGGAGCCCAGAGAATAGAGACATTGGCCCCAGAAGGCACTGCCAGAAACAAGTTTATTTACACAAGGACACACAGTGTAACAGGTTACAAAATACTTAACTGAAATCCATATCCAGGGAGACAAAGCAAGGAGTGGGTTTACATGAGAACCAGACCAGCCACAGGGAGAGAGTGTGTAAGGGGCTGGGAGCCTGGGGCTCAGCACAGAGAGGCCTAGTACACTGGACCTAGCCCCATCCCCATCCCCCAGGAGGATCTAAAACAAACACACAAGCACACAATGAACTGATGGTGCTGGGGCTCCTGCCCCTCCCCTGGCTCCCTCAATCCTGCTCAGGCCCCCAATAGGATAATAAATATGTAAACAGATTGGTGGGGCCCTGGGGATAGAAGGAGAGAAAGTATATGTGGTACTGGGGAGAAGGAGGAAGGAAGAGTCAGCCCCCTAGGAGCCACTTCCCATCTTTGGTTTCCTACAGGCTGGATGGCATTCCCTGGAAGCCTTGTAGGCCCACAGCTGCTGGCAGGGCTCCTGGGAAAGAGAAGGGACAGCACCCAGCCCTCTCCTGGTCTTAGCTCCCTTGGGCTGGTGGTCAGCAAAGGGAGCCCAGGAGGTATGGAAGCTCCAGCTGAGAGCTGACTCCTGGATCCCTGGGTTCTGGCCTTACCCCTTCTAGAACCTCCATTCTCACCATCCCCAGGCTCCAAAGCAAAAGGCCCCAGGAGGGAGGTGAGCCCCTGCCCCTTCTCCCCGCAGCATGCTGGATGGCTGGGGAAATCTGGTCCTGACAGCAGAGGGGCTCTCACCAGCCTGGAGCCCCCCTGCAGGGACCACCTTCTCCCCCTGCCCAGGCTGTGCCAGCAGAGGGGCAGGGAGGCCATCCGAGTAAGGTGGAGAGCAGACCTGGTTCTGCGGCTCCTCCTGGCCCGAGAACCCAGGAAACCAGTCCTCTCCTTCCCCACACACTTTCACCCTCTCAGCCCCGGGGAGGGGGAAGCAGGCTGTGAGGAGTGTGAGGCAAGACAGCCCTCCTCACAGCCCGCAGGCCACGGCTTGGGCACCAGCCTCCCATCAGTGCTGAGACCAAGAAGAAGGAGGGAGAGAGGGGTCTGTGCAGAGATGGTGAGGACGAAAGGGGAAAGGGTGGAGAATCACAGGGTGGGTGCCCACCTCCCCTCCACTCTGCATCTTAGACAGCAGTGGATCCTCCAGATCCTCCCCTGAGGCTGGAGAAGGGAGGAGGGTGAAATTAAGGCATTTCCCCCCAAGTCAGATGAAACCAAGGCACCGACTTCCTATTCCCTCCTCACTCAGGGGGGCCCCAGAACTGGACAGTACTGTCTGGGCCCCCGTGCCCAGCTTGAGCTGACCCAGGCTCCAAGGGGGAAAAGGACAGAATGCAGGAAAATGGGTGGAGGGACACGTGAGACAGGGCTGGGAAGACACCCCCACCCCCTGCAGAGGGCGCAGGCTTCTAGAGCTGAGGTGGAGGCCACAGGGCTGGGGGCCTGAGGCAGCGTAGAGGAGCAGGAGGGGCAAGGCTGAGAGACCCACACGGCACACCTTGTTGAATGTGTGACTTTTTGTTTTTAATAGAAAAAATAAACAAAATCACAATGGTGAAGCCCAGAGGGATGGGGGCCGGGGTGTCACAGGGCAGGCTCCTGCTCCATGGGCTCCTCTGCCGGCCTGTGGGGCAAGCACAGGGGAGGGTATTGAGTGGGGCGCACCAGCAGGGGCAAGGGCAGAGAGGTGGTAGGGGTTGCTGCTTACCTGGGGCTGTGTTCCCGGGCTGCTGCAGCCTGGGCCTGCTCAGCCCCCACCGACAGCAAGGCCATGGCGCTCACAGTCTCGGCCTCCTCGGTCTCACCTGCCTGGGCCTCCCGCAGGGAACGGCCCAGACCAGCGGCAAACTTCTGCACACAGCTCCAGTGTTTGCCTGTGGACGAGAGACAGGCAAGGGGTCAGGGAGGGCAGAGAACATCCACATGAACAGCCCCAGTCCTGCTGCTCCCACAAGCTCTGTGCCCCCTTGGCAGCCTTAGCCCCTCTACGTGTCCCCACGCACTCTGGATCTCGATGACTTTCTCTAGCGTGGCCACTGCGTTGATGTTGGGCTTTTGCTGCAAGACTGCCTCGTCCAAGGGCTGCAGCTGGCAGGTGAAAGAAGAGAAGGTTTAGGGTGGGGAGTAGGGTTGCCATGCATACCCCTCTAACTGCCCCACTTAGCCCCAGATATCCCTCACGACAGGGGCAAACATGGCCTTTTTGGACAAACCCATACTCAAGAAAGCCTTCCCTGGCCATTAGCTATTCCTTAGGACCAAGGAAAAGCTTCCTAAGGGGCTACCAGTGCTGGCTGACCCCTTGCTGGCCCCTCAGTCCTCTGGCCTGCCACCTCCCAGCTCCTTCCCACCCCTTACCTCTACACTGAGCAGAGCCGAAACACAAGCCTCAGAGGCATCACAGATGGCGGTCAAGTCATGGCCTCCCTCCAGGGCCAGCACCACCCGGCCCCCTGCCAGGGTCATCAGCTGCCTGGTCAAGTGGCCAAAACCTTTGGGGATGGATGAAGGGAGGAAGAAGAAATGGCGAAAGGTAATCAATTCAAGAGCCAGTAAGAGAAGGAGACAAAAAAGGCCGGGCGCGGTGGCTCACGCCTGTAATCCTAGCACTTTGGGAGGCCAAGGCGGGCGGATCACAAGGTCAGGAGTTCGAGACCAGCCTGACCAACATGGTGAAACCCCGTTCTCCACTAAAAATGTAATAATTAGCCGGGCATGGTGGCACGTGCCTGTAATCCCAGCTACTCAAGAGGCTGAGGCCGTGAACCCGGGAGGCAAAGGTTGCGGTGAGCTGAGATCATGCCATTGCACTCCAGCCTGGGCGACAGAGTGAGACTCCGCCTCAAAAAAAAAAAAAAAAAAAAAAAAAGAGAGAGAGAGAAAAAGAAACACAAGAGGTGGGACAAATAGCACAAAATATGATGGGAGATATAAACCCAAATATATCCATAATAAAATACAGCGTCAATGGACTAAATGCCCTATCACAGTCAAAACATTAACAGATTGGCTAAAGACTCCAATGACAAGGAGCATCACTGAAACACCAGGGACCAACAAGCCCATCTCTACAGCTCCAGCAGGATATATCCTCTGTCCTCTGCTACCCCACCTCCACCTCCTGTCCCCTTAAGGCCAGGGTTGGCAAAAGACAAGTTGGGGGAGTTACCAAGATGATTCCAAGTCTAGGCTCTGCCCCCTGCTTTCCCTGTCCCCTGAAATATCAGTCTGTTTCCTGCCCCATGCCCCACTGGACTCCATATCCTCACTGTTTCACTTCCTCCCTCAATCCCCCAGCAGGCTTACATCTGGCGGTGACAGAGTAGCCACCCAGAGGAGACAGATGTCCTTCAACAGCATCAAACCCAGCAGAGACTAGGACCACGTCAGGTGAGAACTCGTGGGCAATGGGCATCACCACTGTCCTGCAAAGGGATGGCCCAAGCTGAGCCCAGCAGATGGCCAGGCCAGGCCTCGCCCCACTGTTGTCCTCCCAGAGACAACCCCCTCCACCCACACTGAACTGAGTGCCTTCTGCCCCTCTCACTGCAGGGCCCAGAGGGGCTCCCCTTGACTCCTATGGCCCTTTTCAGTCCCTACCTGAAGGCTGTAAGGTACTCCACGTCTCCAATGGGGGGGTCCACACCTCCTGTCCATGCTATGTTCACATTGTACCCCACGCCTGGCCCTCCACCAACCTGGAACCAGAGTCGGGGAGAGGGCTATTCTCACCGCCTGGGGATAACAAACATTGCCCCTGCCCTCACCCCTGCCTCCAGGTCTCACTCCACTGACCTCTGTTCTGCCTGGAGGGGCAGTCAGATCAGTGTGGTCCTCCCACTAGGAGCCCAGACTCCCCAGGTACCAACACCACCATGGGCCTCCGTGGCTCCCCGCCAGGTCCCATTGTGCCACCTCCCAGGGGGGCCAGGAGGGTCTGCATTTACGCCCAGGAGCTGTACCTCTTCAGGAGCCCCAGAGCCTGGAAAGAAGTTCCCGTTGTCATAGCGATGCAGTGAGATGTAGAGCACAGAGGGGTCGTTGTAGAACGCCTGCTGGGTGCCATTGCCATGGTGAATGTCCTATGAGGGGAGGTAGAAGCATCAGGAAAATGGCCCTCGCTCTGACCCAACGATCAAATTCCACATGTCAGCTGGGCGCTGTAGCTCACGCCTGTAATCCTAGCATTTTGGGAGGCTGAGGGCTGGGAGAATCGCTTGAGCCCAGGAGTCCACCCTTGGCCACAGGGCATCCATATTCTGTTCACAATGGTATTGCCCACCCCACACTTCTCTAACTAGGTCTGAGCCTCTGTGGTGTGGCACTGTGTAGGTTCAAAGCCATGGGATAAATGTGGCATATCTCCCTACAGAACCCATTCCACTTCAGTTTGTGGGAAAACATTAAGGCTAGTAGGGAATTTAAAACAAGCAGATAAGATGATGATTCTTTTTTTTTTTTTTTGAGACCGAGTTTCGCTTTTGTTGCCCAGGCTGGAGTACAGTGGCACGATCTTGGCTCACTGCAACCTCTGCCTCCCAGGTTCAAGCGATTCTCCTGCCTCAGCCTCCCAAGTAGCTGGGATTACAGGCACCCACCACCATGCTCGGCTAATTTTTTTTGTATTTTTAGTAGAGATTGGGTTCACCATGTTGGCCAGGCTGGTCTCAAACTCCTGACCTCAGATGATCCACCCACCATGGCCTCCCAAAATGCTGGGATTACAGGTGTGAGCCACTGTATCCGGCCTTTTTCTTTCTCTTTTTTTTTTTTTTGGAGACAGTCTCACTCTGTCGTCGAGGCTGGAGTGCAGTGACATGATCTTGGCTCATTCCAACCTCCACCTCCCAGGTTCAAGCAGTTCTCCTGCCTCAGCCTCCCCAGTAGCTGGGATTACAGGCTCCCCACCACCACACCTGGCTAATTTTTTTGTGTTTTCAGTGGAGATAGGGTTTCACCATGTTGGCCAGGTTGGTCTCAAACTGCTGACCTCAAGTGATTCACCCACCTTGGCCTCCCAAAGTGCTGGGATTACAGCCACTGTGCACCACCACAAGCACAGAAGATTCTGAAGGAGGAGCCAACATTTACATGAATTTTTAAGCCAGAATTGGGCTTCCAAGATATTTTGTCCTTCCTGAGGCTTGCTCCTGGCTACTTCCCCAGCTTACAGAGAGTGGCGTGTGCCTCTGCCTCCACCATTAGGAACAGGGTTTGAGAAGCACTCATGGTAGCAAGAGCAGAGTGCTGGGAACAAGAGGCCTGGTCTGAAACCCAGTGCCGACATCCCCAGCTGAGTGGCCCTGGGTAAGTCATGCAACAACACCTTCATTCACAGAAATGGACAACCTCGTTCTTACTACTCGAGGTGGCCATAAAGTACTCATTGGGTTCCTGGTATATAGTCTGCTCCCAATTGTAGGGGGTGGGAGTAAATATCGGCTACTAGCACTGGCAGCGGCGTCACTACTGTTCAAGGTAGGAAATCCCCTTCGTTGCTTGAAGCTGCAACGTGAGGGCCAAGATGGAACAGGAGCTAAATGTCTTTCATAGTTGAGGAGAGAGCCCTGTTGGAATGTGACATTAGTCATCCGGCAGGAGCCCCAGCTCCCTTCCTTCCGCACCCGCACCGAGCACCCGGACGAGGACAACTGGGCTGCTTGGAGGTGGGGCTGGGGGAGGGGACTTCCTGAAGGCTGACCCTGGTCCCAGCTCTACCCGCCCCTGCCCAACCCCACCAGCTCACTGCCTACCCAGTCCACGATGAGGACCTTGCCCACGTTCAACTTCTGCTGTAGGAGTTTTGCAGTGATGGCTACAGAGTTGAAGAAGCAGAATCCCCTGAGGAGGGGAGAAAAGGGCAGGAGGTTAGCCTCAGCATGACGTTTGCAAGAGACAGGAAGGGGCGAAGGCAGAGAACCTAGGGCACTCACATGGCTGTGGATTCCTCGGCATGGTGTCCTGGTGGCCGGATGATGGCAAATCCATTCTGAAGAGGTGCAGGCCAGGCAGAAGTGAGGGACAAGATCCAGGCAGGAAGGCCGTGGATGGGGTGGCACAGGACAGAAGCACAAGCCAGGCAAGGAAGTGAACACAAACCAGAAAAGCAGATCTATATGTTCAACGCACAGTTTTGTTGGGGTTGGTTTGTTTGTTTTTTTATGGTTTTTTTTGGAGACAGGGTCTTGCTTTGTCACCCAGGCTGGAGTGCAGTGGTGTGATTACGGCTCACTACAACCTTGGCCTCCCAGGCTCAGAAAATCCTTCCACCTCAGTCTCCCAAGTAGCTAGGACTGCAAACACACGCCACCACTCCTGGTTAATTTTTTGTAGAGACAGCATTTCACTATGTTGCCCAGGCCGGTCTAGAACTCCTGGGCTCGAGCTATCTGCCCACCTCGGCCTCCCAAAGTGTTGAGATTATAGGCATGAGCCACGGTGTCCAGCCTCAATGGACCATTCTTAATGCCAACCATGAGGCTTGAGCAGGCAGACAGTATTTCTGCCTCGAGACACCCACGAAAGCAACTGGGCATTAGTGTCTTTTTGTTGGTCCTTCATAAACCTGAATCCCCAGCTGATAACTCCTTCCTACCCTGGTGCCTGAGAGTTGAACTTGCAAAGGACAGTGCCTCACTGAAAGGATCTCAAGGCTGCCCCTGTCCTCTGCCTCTGAGGAGCAGGACCATGCCAAAGGGCACCAAAGTCACAAGCACACGCTCACCTTGAGCTCTCCTGCAGCCACCTTGAAGGCCAGCTCCAGCAGGCAGCCCACCGCCATGCGCACAGCACTGGAGGAATGCATCTCATTCCAGACGGTGTCACTGTCCACCTGCAGGGCAGGAGAGCAGGTTTCAGCGTGCCCCCTGTAGGGGGAGGGCAAGAACAGGGGAGGGCACCTGGACAGTGACTGTGGCAGTCAGGGAAGAGACAGAGAGCTAGGAGAGCCACCCACCCACCCCCACTGCTGCAATCCCTACTCACCCCGATTCCCCCACAAGGCAGCACAGCATACATCTTCTGGCTGATGGGGCCTGCAGGGAAGAGGGATAGAGCTACTCTAGAAGTGGCCTCGGGCAGATCACCTGAGGTCAGGAGTTCGAGACCAGCCTGGACAACATGGTGAAACCCCATCTCTACTAAAAATACAAAACTTAGCTGGGCGTGGTGGCACACACCTGTAAACCCAGCTACTCGGGAGGCTGAGGTAAGAGAGTTGCTTGAGCCTGGGAGACGGAGGTCACAGTGAGCCGAGATCGCACCACTGCACTCCAGCCTGGCCAACACAGCAAGACTGTCTCAAAAAAAATAAAAATAAAAATAAAAAACGAAGTGGCCTCAACTGCCCCGGCTACAGGCTTAGCCACCAAAAATGAGGGCTCAGACCCGAGTACAAGACAGGCCTCTGCAGCCCACACCAGTTGGGAGTTGTCAATCCCCTGTCCTTGAGGACATCCTACTTCTGGGGGCAGATGGCAGGGAGAGAGGAGCATGATAAGCGGGGGGATGGGGAGGAGCAAAGCAGTTCCCCCAACCGAGCACTTCCATCCTCCTGCACCACGCCCCACAGCATGCTCTATGTTAGTGGTGCCCTCTGGAGGTGTGTGACGTGGTAATTGTGCCACCTCTGCAGCACTAATGCCCTGCCTGTGCCCATGGGGACAACCCTCCTAACCTAGCCAGGCAGTCCTCCTGAGAGCCCCCATCCCACCCTGACATTGGACATGCCCGCCCATGTGCCAGCTCACCAAGCAACTTCTTGTTGTCCAGCTTCTGCCGGTTGAGGGGGCTGGTCCCATACAGCAGGGTGTGGTATTCAGAGTGCACTGTCTGGATCTCATCTAGCGTGGCTTTGCGACCCCGGATTCGCTGCCAGGAGGATCAGTAAGAGGGATCACACAAAGGCGCAGCTCTCTCAGACCCTTTTTTTTTTTTTTTTTTTGAGACGGAGTCTCACCCTGTCGCCCAGGCTGGAGTGCAGTGGCACGATCTCGGCTTACTGCAACTTCCGCCTCCTTGGTTCAAGTGATTCTCCTGTCTCAGCCTCCTGAGTAGCTAAGACTACAGGTGCAGGTCACCACGCCCGGCTAAGTTTTGTATTTTTAGTAGAGACGGGGTTTCATCATGTTGGTCAGGCTGATCTCGAACCCCTGACCTCCTGATACGCCCGCCTTGGCCTCCCAAAGTGCTGGGATTACAGGCGTGAGCCACCGCACCTGGCTCTCAGACCCTTTCTGCCCCATAGCCAGGGGCACACAGAGTCACTTCCTGGCCTCAGGAGATCCAAATATTTTTCAGAAAGTAGATCCTGGCTCTGTCATGACCTTACTCCCAGATCCTCCCTGACTCAGCTGGGGACCATGGGGGAAAACAGGCTGCAAAGTATGGAACAGGGGGTGGTGGAAGAACTGGCCCCGAAGTCTGGGGCTGAAGAGAGGATGAGGAAGAAGCATGAAGAGAAGCTTCTCTAATGGGGAAACAAAGGCTGAATTTAAGTTGAGGGCCAGAGGAAGGAGGGGCTCCCTTACCTCACACTTGCTAAGCAGGCCTGTCTCCTGCAGCCGGGACCAGATGCTCTGGATCCGGCCAGCATGCTCAGGGTGCACGTGTGTGTTCCCGCACATGCACTGGTGCTTCAGCATGAACGTGTCGTAGACCACACCTGCGCCACAGACCTATGTGTCAGCCAGCACTGCTCTGGGCCCCGGGTCCCCGTGTGGCTACCATGATCCTCAGCAGGGCTCATGGAGCTATCTCCAACCCCCAGGTCCAAACACCTCCCCGTGGCCACCGCAGCCACCCTCCCACACACCTGCACCCTCTCCTCTCCAGCTTTTTTTTTTTTTCTTTGAAACAGGGTCTCACTCTGTCACCCAGGCTGGAGTGGAGTGTGCAGTGGCACTATCATGGCTCACTGCAGCCTCAACCACTGCCCCCACCACCCTGGGCTCAAGCGATCCTCCCACCTCAGCGTTCTGAGTAGCTGGGACTATAGGCACTACCACATCTAGCGTTTTTTTGTTTGTTTGTTGTTTTTGAGACAGAGTCTTGCTCTGTTGCCCAGGCTAGGGTACAATGGCACGATCTTGGCTCACTGCAACCTCTGCCTCCTGGGCTCAAGCAATTCTCCTGCCTCAGCCTCCCAAGTAGCTAGGATTACAGACATGTGCCACCACGCCTGGCTAACTTTTGTATTTTCAGTAGAGATGGGGTTTCACCATGTTGGCCAGGCTGGTCTTGAACTCCTGACCTCAGGTAATCCGCCCGCCTCAGCCTCCCAAAGTGCTGGGATTACAGGCGTGAGCCACCGCGTCCAGCCTATTTTTTTTTTTTTTTAAATAGACGGGGTCTCACTATGTTGCTCACGTTGGTCTCAAACTCCTGGGCTCAAGTGATCCTCCCACTTTGGCTTCCCAAAATGCTGGTATTACAGGTGTGAGTCACTGCACCTGGCTTTTCCTCTCCAGCCTTTGCCCCCTCTCGACTCCTCCTGAAATTCCTTTGCTCCATTACTGCCTGTCAGAAGCTTCCCTGCTACTCAAGCCCCAGTAAGGCTGCCCTGGACACCCGCATGGGTCTGATCTCTGCCGGCTGTGCCTCCTTGGCTGCACCCTTCTCATAGCACCTCCTGCTTTCCCCCTCCTGCCAAACCCCTATGTCTTACTCCCCACTGGCTATACAGGCCCACCCTCAGGCACGCCTGTGTCCCCGCAGAGCCCAGCCTGTGGCGGCTTCATGGGGAAGAGGACTCCGGTCTCATCCCAGACCTCACAGGGAGAAGGAAGGGAAGGTGGAAGGTCAGGGCCCAATAGAGACAGCAGGCTCTCTCTACCCAGCACTTCAGGCTGTGGGGCAGTCCTTCCTTCAGCGGGGTGAGAAAGATGCTACCCACTCTCCCAGCTGAGGCAGAAGGCCCTGCCACTACCACGAACAGCTCTGGGGAACAGGGAGAGAACGAAAGCCTGTGTCCCCTCCTTTCAGGGTGCCTAAGGGGCCCCAGCAGCCTCTTCCCCCTGCCCATGGGGCAGACACCACACACAGGCCCTCTGGTGCCTGGTAGAAGGACATAACAAGTGGTGGGGGCTCACCTGTGGTGAAGAGGTGCTTGACGGGCTGGTCTGGGGGGCTCTTCATGCCCCCAGGAGCAGCAGGGGAGGACTGGGTGCGGCCCAGGGCCTGGTGGGGCACAGTGGCCAGGCTGAGGGGCGCCTGGTACACCTGCAGCGGCTGCAGAGGCTGGGCATCTGAGAACAGCTGCAGGGGAGGAGAGTGGGAGGGGGCCTGGGTCAGACTCAGCCAGGACAGGGGTGAGGGCAGGCCCTGTCAGGGCCTCCAGAGGGGCCCCAATCCAGACCTTTTCTTCCAAGTCTCCTCCTTCCCCCACCTCCTCCCACTTGCTCCCTCTAGGGACAGGAGACACATCTCCTGAGACAGGGAGGGATGGGGGAGATGTGATGAGTCACATCAAAGAGTAGCATTGAGGTAAGAGGCTGGGAGGGGCGGAGGCGGGGTGGGGGCGGGATGAGTCAGGCCTGGAGGGCTCGGCTGTGTCCGCAATGAATGGAGTGCCAGCTAGGCGTGAGGCAGACAGTAGTAACAGCGGGGGCGTGTGTGTACACACACGCACAGGCACGCACAGGGACCGACGCACAGCCGGCCCTACGCAGGCAGAAACGCAGATACACACAGGCCACGTGTGCACACATGCACACCCGCACATGCACACACACACAGACACACAAGCAGAGAGGCAGGCCAGTATCACAGAGACAGGGAGGGAACTGGCAGCCTAGGAGACACAGCTCTGAGATCAACACAAACAGCTCCCCCTTCTCCCCACTGGCCTCCTTCCCACTCCCCTTTTGCTCTCTACAGAAAGCTGCTCCTGCACAGCCTGGAAACTGCAGATGGGGGAGAGGGAAAGACAAGGGCAAAGGCACGGGTGGGGAAGGACAGAGGGGTGGTGACTAAGGGCTGGGACCAGAGATGGGGCTCACTTTTTTGTAACCAGCACCAGGCTCCTCCGAGTCGGGCCCCTCCTCAGCACCACTCTCGCCCTCCTCGTCCTTGACCTGGATGCAATCCTCCTCCTCCTCCCCATCCTCTTCCTCCTCCTCCTCCTCCAGGTCTTCCTGTGTGCTCTCACTCTCTGTGGAGCCCTCCCGGGGCATGGTCAGGGCTCCCTCCCCCAGCAAGGCCTCCTGCTGCTCTGTCAGCTCCTCTTCTGTCTCCTCAGGGTGGGTGGTGGGCTGCCTGGGCAGCTCCCCTGTCTTGGTGAGGATCTGGTAACAGAATATGGGGGCACATCAGCTGGGAGTTGGGGAGCAGCTGTGCAGCCTGTAACCCAGAACAGTCTATCCTTCCCTCCCTCCCTTCTTCCAGGCAGAGCTTCTATGTGAGTTAGAAAAAGGCAAGGTGGCTCCTCTGAGAGGAGGACTTTTTTCTTTTTTCTTTTTTTTTTTTTTTTGAGAAAGAGTCTCCCTCTGTCGCCCAGCCTGGCATGCAGTGGCGCAATCTCGGCTCACTTTAACCTCCACCTTCCCGATTCAAGAGATGCTCCTGCCTCAGCCTCCCCAGTGACTGGGATTACAGGTGCACGCCACCACGCCCAGCGAATTTTTGCTTTTTTTTTGAGAGGGTCTTGCTCTCGTCACCCAGGCTGGAGTGTAACGGTGTGATCTGGGCTCAGTGTAACCTCCATCTCCCAGGTTCAAGCGATTCTCCTGCCTCAGCCTCCTGAGTAGCTGGGATTATAGGTGCCTGCCACCACGCCTGGCTAATTTTTGTATTTTTAGTGGAGAGAGGGTTTCACCATGTTGGCCAGGCTGGTCTCGAACTCCTGACCTCAGGCGATCTGCCTGCCTCAGCCTCCCCATCAAGCGCAAGCAACCGTGTCTGGCCTGAAAGGAGGACACGTGCTAGCCTGGTGCTCTCCTGCCCCCACCACAGCCCCAGGCCATTCGCCTTTCCAGGCTCACCTTGCCCAGCTGTAGCTGCTGCTGCTTCTGCTTCTCCAGGAACTGCTGGTGCTGTTGTTGCATGACCAGCTGCTGCAGGGCCTGGGGACTCTGCGGCAGCGGTGAGGACTGAGTGCGGCTCAGGGGCCGATGCCGCGGGAGCTTGCCCACCGTCCGCATGCTGGTGGCCACACGTTCACCCGTCACTAGTGGGGACTGCCCGTGGAGTGGCACTATGGAGTTAGGGGTGATGACTAAGCACCATTGTCAGGGCACCTGACTGCGGCCCCCCCGACCCTGCATCTTGCCCCCATAACCCCCTCTGGAACATCACCACCTACATACTCAGGAAAAAACCGGGGGACCTGGAGCACCCTCCACCCAAACCTGAGCTCCGTTCTCCCTCTTCCCCATGAATGAAGAGTTTCACAGCTCTAAGATACCGCCTCCAGCAAGTCTTCCTGGATTCACCATCTTTTCCCTTCAATATGCTTAACTGAATAAACTGAGCACACATGTAGTCTTGAGCCCTCTGAGTGAACAATGAATGACTTGTTCTCCCTAAGTGCAACAAGGCCTCGCTGATCAAGGACCCCGTGGATCCTGCCAGGCTAGGAAGCCCTGGGGCCAGGATCATGTATCTTTCAAGCAGAACCTCTTCTGGTGCCAACAGGTACTTAAGGGCTGTCTAAAGCTGTGCTGTCCAATCCCATAGCTACTAGTTACATGTGACTACTGAGCCCTTGAACACAGCCTATCTAAATTGAAATGTGATATAAGTGTGAAGTATACACTAGATTTCAAAGGCTTAGTATGAAACAAAAAGCAAAATATCTCATTGGTAACTGCATATTGGCCAGGCACAGTGGCTCACACCTGTAATTCCAGCACTTTGAGAGGCCAAGGCGGGAGGATGGCTTGAGCCCAGGAGTTCAAGACCAACCCGGGCAGCTGAGTGCAGTGGCTCACACCTGTAATCCCAGCACTTTGGGAGGCTGAGGCAGGTGGATCACTTGAGGTCAGGAGTTCATGACCAAGTTGGCCAACATGGTGAAACCCTGTCTCTACTAAAAATACAAAAATTAGGCCAGGCGCAGTGGCTCACGCCTGTAATTCCAACACTTTGGGAGGCCAAGGCAGGTAGACCACCTGAGGTCAGGAGTTCGAGACCAACCTGGCCAACATGGTGAAACCTCATCTCTAATAAAAATACAAAAAATTAGCCAGGCGTGGTGGCACACACCTGTAATCCCAGCTACTTGGGAGGCTGAGGCAGGAGAATCGCTTGTACTCGAGAGGCAGAGGTTGCAGTGAGCCAAGATCTTGTCACTGCACTCCAGCCTGGGCAATAAGGGTGAAACTTTGTCTCAAAAAAAAAAAAAAAAAAAAAATTAGCTGGGTGTGGTGGCACACGCCTGTAGTCCCAGCTACTCAGGAGGCTGAAGCAAAAGAACCGCTTGAACCCAGGAGGTGGAGGTTGCAGTGAGCAGAGATCCCGCCACTGCACTCTAGCCTGGGCGACACAGTGAGACTCTGTCTCAAAAAAAAAAAAAAAAAAGAAAGGGTGCAGTGGCTCACGCCTGTAATCCCAGAACTTTGGGAGGCTGAGGCAGGCAGATCGCCTGAGTTCAGGAGTTCGAGACCAGCCTGGCCAAGATGGTGAAACCCCAGGTCTACTAAAAATACAAAAATTAGCCAGGTACGGTGGCAGGCGCCTAAAATCCCAGCTACTTAGGAGGCTGAGGCAGGAGAATTGCTTGAACCTGGGAGGTGGAGGTTGCAGTGAGCCAAGATCGCACCACTGCACTCTAGCCTGGGCGACAGAGCGAGACTGTCTCAAAAAAAAGACAAAAAAGACCAGACTGGGCAACACAGCAAGATCCTGTCTCTACAAAACTTTAAAAATAGGAAGAATAACTGCACGTGTATTACAGAAATTTTAATATTCTGGATATACTGAGTTAAATATATGTGGTGAAATTAATTCCACTTGCTTTTTTTTTTTTTTTTAAGACGGAGTCTCACTCTGTTGCCCAGGCTCGAGAGCAATGGTGCAATCTCGGCTCACTGCAACCTCCACCTCCTGGGTTCAGCGATTCTCCTGCCTCCAGCGATTCTCCTGCCTCAGCCTCCTGAGTAGCTGGGATTACAGATGCCCACCACCATGCCCAGCTAATTTTTGTATTTTTAGTAGAAATGGGATTTCACCATGTTGGCCAGGTTGGTCTCAAGCTCCTGACTTCAAGCGATCAACCTGTCTTGGTCTACAAAGTGCTGGGTTCACAGGCATGAACCACTATGTATGGCTCTACTTGCTTCTTTTTACATTTTTTAATGTGGATGCTAGAAATTATGTACGTAGATTGTGTTGTTTCTACTGAACAGCACTGCTCTGGGATGTGAACTCCAAGATGGCAGCAGATTTTGTCAAGAACAGTGCCCGGCATCCTGTAGGTATCCCATGTTTCCAGAATGTGGAAGAAATCACCGATGCTGTTGATTCTGCTAAAGGGAACTGTGACAGGGCTGGAGAGTATCCCTGACTGTTGGTCCTGAGCCCCCTCCCTTGCACAGCTGCCTGTCCACTCACCAGCAATGAGGGTGCTCTGCTGCCGGGCCTGCTCCAGCAACAGCACGTGCTGCAGCAGGGAGGCATGCCCGTGGGGGCTCCCGTCGCCCTCCAGTGCCACGCCCAACAGGCAGCCAGGGATAGAGGATGTGCTCATGAACTTGCCCGTCAGCGTGCCACCCTGCCGCAGGGACTGGAGGGCCTGCCTCTCGGCCTCCTGCTGTGTCGACAGCTTCGGGGAGGCCTGGGGGGTGAAGGGAGGGGCTTATACAGCCTCAGTCCTGCCAACTTTGGACCAGCATCCCCATCTACCCACTGTCTACCCCCAGCTCTGGGTAGGGCCAACCGATCTCCCTTAGGGCCTTGGAAGGGGAAAACCCCAGCTGGGGACATGCAGGACCTGTGACCTCAACACTAGAGGAAAGATGGGGTATGTGCCCTGTACTTACAGTGAGGTGTGAGTTGGTGACAGTGACCGTGGCCTGCAGCCCTAAGGAGATGTTGGGCAGAGAAGGAGACGTGTAGAGGCTGAACTGGTTGGGGGAGCTGTCCAGAGGGAGGGCTCGGTGCTGGGGGAGCATCTGGGGAGCAGTGAGAAGAGACAGGAATGAGAGTGCGCAAAGGGAGGCAACAAGGGAGGGCAACCTGGGGCCAAGACCAAGTTCTCTGAATGGTGCCCAGTTCCCTCTACCCTGAGCTCCCACTGAGGGAGACTGAGCCATCACGGCTCTTCATAGTCCTGTGGGACAAATTCCCCTTTGATGCAATTAAGTCCAAGCAAGGACCCTCCAGCCTATTCATGTGGGCAGAGAGGTCTCTGTTGGGCACTCAGGCAGACAGACTGGAAGGAGCTGCACTCTTTCTTCCATGGGAAGGAGTAGCTCTGTCCCCGCCCCACCAGCCCTCAGCCAGGCCTGTACCTCGGTGGGGATGTTGGGGACTGAGCCAGTAAAGCCATTCTCAGCGATGGTGCTGTGGGAGCTGTTGGGAGAGCTGGGGCCGGAGCCGGGTGCGCTGTTACACACGGACGACGCTATAGGAGAAGTGGCTGTCACCTGGGCCTGCTCTGAACTACCCCCCACCCCCGATTCCCAGACCCTCAGAACCGGTACATGAGAGCAGCCCTTACCCCCAGGCCCGGCACCTGTGATCTCAACAGCTCTTTTCTTAAAGGTGCTAATAACAGTCCCATCCTTGCGACGCAGGAGGGGACTGCTTCTCCGCTCGGCCACCTTCTGTTTTAGCCTTGAACGCACTTTCAAGTTGGGTTCAGAGGCTGGAGAGAAGGTAACCGAGGTTCAGATACACGCACAGCAGCACACATCTGCAGTCGAGCCCACTGTGGTCAGGGCTGACACTGCCACAAGCCCACCTCTGCCTCCTGGGAGCCATATTCTGGGAGGCCAGGTGGGGGACTCACTTACCTGTTTTGCGGAGGGGGAAGTCATCTCGACTGTCGTAGGGCCCAGGCAAAGGCAGTTTGTAGGAGGGAGGCGTCCCAGGGGGGCCGCTCTGGGGAGGGGAACTCTGGTCCAAAGAAGCATGGTGGGCTCCCCTGGGGGTGGGGGTGGGGATGGAAGCAGATCTAAGTTATCACCCAGCCTGCTGGACCTGCCACCTGGCAATTTACATTTATGAAAAATCATTTGTATATAGGAAGAGGACATGGATCTTGGGGAAAGAATGAGGAAATAAACCAGGGATGGAGGTCCTGTCTCTAAGGAGAGATTGCAGGGCCCATATATGGGCACGGGGCAGAAGCCCCTTGCCATCCTATAGCCAGGCAGCCCCTGAGCAGCTCACCTATGCCCACCCGTGCCTGCCCAGGGCCATTACCAGCATTTGGGGTGCTGTGGGAGGGAATGGTTGAGGCCGCCTGGTGTGGGCTCCTTTGACTTCGACAAGAGGAATTCCTGGAGCCTCAGCTTTACCTCGGTGCTGGCAATGGCACCTGCAGGACAGGGCACAACTGACCTGGCTGCTTAGGGCCAGACCCCACCATGGCAGGGGCAGGCGTCACGGGTGGGGCCCTAGGAGGTCCCAGGACTCCCTGCCTTACTCTCTTTGCTCTTCTCCTTGTTCCGCAGGATGAGCAGCTGCTGCTCCAGCCGCTGCTTCTCCAGCTCTTCCTGCCGCTGCTGCTCCCGCTGCCGCTGCTGCTCCAGCTCCTGCTGCCGCTTGGCTGCCAGCATCTCCTGCTGCTGCTTGGCTGCCAGCATCTCCTGCTGCTGCTGCAGGGGCATGGGGAGGGAGGCAGGAGTGAGCCAGGCCTGGGCGGGGGGCGGGGGGCGGAGGCCTGGGAGGCCCCCCGCACCCCTCTCGCTCACCTTGAGGTGCTTCTGTAGCTGGACCTCATGCTGCCTTGTCAGGTGGTCATGCTGTTTCTGGAACTCAGCGAACAGGAGCTGCTTCTGCAGCTGCTGCTGCTGCTTGAGCGCCAGGAGCTCCTGCTGCAGTTGCTGCTCCCGCAGTGTGGGATCCACAGAGCCCACCAGAGCACCCCGTAGCTCCACAGGGCTGGGGCTGCCTCCACCCCCACCCCCCATGGAACTGGGCATGGCTCTTGGCAGCACCGGCTTCACCTCCACTGTGGGCAGAAGAGACAGGAAGGAGTTAGTGGGCCCAGCCCCAGACTCCAGTCGTGCCTGAGGCCCAAACGCTACCAGGCAGGATTCTAGGAGACCCAAAGAGATCAGAGACAGAGGGGAAATCAAATCCCTCTGCTCCATGGATGCAACATTTTACCTTAATTAAATGAGGCTGAAGCCATGAACTTCAATAGGAAAATATAGGCCAAGCACGGTGGCTCACATCTGGAATCTCAGGTTACTTTGGGAGGCTGAGGCAGGCAGATCACCCGAGGCAAGGAGTTCAAGACCAGCCTGGCCAACATGGCGAAACCCCCCCTCTAATAAAAATACAAAAATTAGCTGGGCGTGATGGTGCACACCTGTAATCCCAGCTACTCAGGTGGCTGAGGCATGGGAATCTCTTGAACCCCGGGCGGGGGAGGTTGCAGTGAGCCAAGATCATGCAACTGTACTCTAGCCTGGGTGACAGAGCAAGACTGTCTCCAGGGAAAGGAGGAAAAAAAAAAAAAAAAAAAAAGGGGCCGGGCGCGGTCGCTCATACCTGTAATCCCAGAACTTTGGGAGGCTGAGGCGGGCAGATCACGAGGTCAGATCAAGACCACCCTGGCTAACACAGTGAAACCCTGTATCTACTAAAAACAAAAAAAATTAGCTGGGCGTGGTAGCACATGCCTGTAGTCCCAGCTACTCAGGAGACTGAGGCAGGAGAATCGCTTTAACCCTGGAGGCGGAGGTTGCAGTGAGCCAAGATTGCACCACTGCACTCCAGCCTAGGTGACAGAGCAAGACTCCGTCTCAAGAAAAAAGAAAACATGCATAAGCATGAAGCTGTACCTGACAGATTGTGAGTACTCAACACATTTTTTATGTGTGTGTGTGTGTATATACACATATGTATGTGTATCTCTCTACCTATATATATATATATATATCAAAGACAAGGTCTTGCTCTGTCGCCCAGGCTGGAATGCAATGGCATGATCATGGTTCATAACAGCCTCGACCTCAAGCAACTCTCCCACCTCAGCTTCCCGAGTAGCTGGGACCACAGGAGCATGCCAATGCACGAGGCTAATTTTTAAATCTTTAGTAGAGACAGGGTCTCACTATGTTGCCCCGGCTGGCCTTAAACTCCTAGGCTCAAGCGATCCTCCCACCTCAGCCTCCCAAAGTGCTGGGATTATAGGCGTGAGCCACTGCCCAGCCTTCAACACATAATATTGTCATTGATAGTCAACATCTCCGGGCATTTTACAAGAATGACTCATTTAAATGTCATGGTTACCTATGACTTAGATGCTATTATTACCCCATTTTACTGATGAGGAAACTGAGATTTACAGAAATTTAAGTAGCAACCAGACACAGCTAGGTGATCAAAGAACCACAATATAAGTCCAAATCCTAAGCTTTTAACCACTGTGCCCACTCCTATTTCTCAACACCGTGCCCTGTGCAAAGCCTCATACTAGAAGAGAAACTGAGGCACAGAGGTTGGTTCTAGCACTGACAGTGCCCTTGGTAACCCCAGGAGAGGCTGGTGGGGACCTTCTGGATATCTCTACCCTCTGTCCCCTTCTGGGGCTTCATCCCTATCTGGGGCACACTGGGCAGGAGAGAGAGAGGCTGTGGGAATGGGAGTGGGGTGGGAACAGGAGGCCTTGGTGAAAGCGGGTGCAGGGCTGCACCAAGCCAGGGACAGGAGGGGGCTGGGAGTCAGACTCGCTTCCTTTGCTGGATTATCTCCTTTCAACAGTTTTATTGTAATTACCCTGAAAATGCCGCTATATATAGAGTGAGCCAAACAGCAGCTGTGCCTGGGGGGAGGGGGAATGAGAGGATGGGCGGGCAGGCAGCAGGGAGGAGGTGGGAGGAGGAGACAGGAAAGGAAAGGGAATCAGACAGGAAGAAGGGTAACGGCAGGGGGAGGGCGGGAGCTTCGGCAGATATCTCAGAACTCTGGTCCTAGGGAGAGCTGGCTGGGGAGAGGAAGGCTGCTGGCGAGGGGAAGGCAGTGGAGGACCTGCTGGGTTCCAAGACCTTGGGTCCAGGCCCCACATGGACACTGGGCCGAGCGGCTTGAGGTTCCAATGGGCTTATGGGAAGGCTAGGTCTCCACTTCTTTGTCCCTACACACGGTTCTCGGTTCTCGGGTCACTGCATGTCACTCCCCACCACTGCCCTGTGGTTGCCAGGACAACTGGGCAAACACCACACCAGCAGGGAGCCCCAAGCACAGCCCACGCCCCACAAAGCCTCCAGCCAGGAAGGGGAAGGCAGGATACCACTGCCTGGGAAGGCGGAAGTGAGAGAGGCAGGGCCAACCCATTCCTGTTTCTCTTCTACTTCTTTCTCCAAAGAAAGCCCAGGGAGGTCACGAGGGGCTGGGAATGCTCCTGTGGCAAAGTGGACCACTCCAGCCCAGGCCTGGGAAGAAAGGACCCCCCAAATCCTTCTGGCTACCAGTATCTCCTGCCCTCATGAGCTGGCCTCTCTCCAGATCACCCCCCAGCATTAAGAGGCGAGGGGGGGGGGGGGAAAAGGTTTTTTTGTCTTTTAATTTTTTGAGACAGAGTTTCGTTCTTGTCACCCAGGCTGGAGTGCAATGGCACGATCTCGGCTCACTGCAACCTCTGTCTCCTGGTTTCAAGCAATTTTCCTGCCTCGGCAGGCGCCCACCACCAGGCCCAGCTAATTTTTGTATTTTTAGTAGAAACGGGGTTTCACCATGTTCGTCAGGCTGGTCTCGAACTCCTGACCTCAGGTGATCCGCCTGCCTCAGCCTCTCAAAGTGCTGGAATTACAGGTGTGAGCTACCACACCCAGCCGAAAAATTTTTAAAAAGGGGGAGGTGGGAGGTAGGAGGTGGCAAAGGGTAGGCTAAGAGAGGCCCCCACACCTGCTTAGATGGGTCTGGATCTCTCCAGAGAACCTAGCACTGAATGGGTGTCAACAAGGCAGGAGCAAAGCCTGCTGGAAGCCAAGGCCATGCCACCCGCATGCCTAGAGTATGGCCTCTGGAACCCCCTGCAGGCAGCGTGGGGTGGGAGAAGGTAAAGGGTGAGCACCACGATGTGGCAGTCCCCACCAGTCTCTTCTCCCCAAAGCATGGTTGGGAACATTCCTTTGTGGTTTTCCCGCCAGCCGTACTGACGACTCTGTGGCCACAAGGCCAGAGTCACATGTGCAGAAGTGGCCAGATGTGGCCAGAGGGTGGGGTTACACATACTCATCCTCCTTCCCAACCCATGTCCTGCCCCAGCACCAGGCGGAAGGGTCCTTGGAAACTGCAGACGGCCTTCCTGGAGGTAGCCAGCCACGGTCCACGATGGTGGCAAGGAAATGGCAACCAGCTCAGGTCTCCCCAGCCCGTGAAGTGTTCAGCAAGGCCCTGAGCTGGCCGGAGGGTTATCTGTTCTTAGTCAAGGCTGGCTTGGCCCGTGGCACTCTGATCACTCAGCCAAGCGATGGACGGGCTTCAACCTGCTGCTCCCGGCAATGCCGGGGTTGTAGGAGCAGGATGCCAGCCCGCCTGCCCAGAGAAGGGCAGGGGTCCAAGCACTCCTGGCTCCCAGCAGATAACCCTGCCTAGGGCTGGAACTGTCGCCAGCAGTACTGGCTTCCCTTGCAGGAGCCCTGCAGAGAGCACATGGGCTCAGGCAAGGGGAATCTCCCACCAGACTGTCACTGCCACTGCAGCAGCAGAGATGTTAGGCCTGGAGCTGCAGTGGGAGCCACTATTGGTATGCAGGTGGCAGGGCAGGCAGAGGGCTCTGCCATGCAGCCTCGTTCTCATGCAAACAGGAAGCACAGGCGACTACAGAATATTAATTTGCAGGGCCTGCAGGGTGGTATGCAGCACCCCAAGGGTTTGCCAGGTAGCAACCTGCTCCACCCAAAGTGGAAGGGGCCATGGCTGCTCTGCCTGAGTCAGGGAAAGGAGGGGCATGGAGCCCCATGAATAGAGTCTGCCCAGGCACAGTCCCTGGAGCCGGGCTGGCCTTGAACTCTCTCAGATCTGTGCCCTCTGCCAGCCTGGCATGAGCAGAGCAGGTGGCAGCAGCTGCCATCAGCACCAAGCACCTGGGTGTGTCATGATAGGAAGAGGCTCTTGGCCGCCTCCTGGTGGACCCAGGAAGGCTGGGGAACCTCTGGGGAAAGAAGAGGATAGATGGGCTTGGGCGAGGTGGCTCACGCCTATAATCCCAGCATTTTGGGAGGCTGAGGTGGGCGGGATCACCTGAGGTCAGGAGTTCAAGACCAGTCTGGCCAACGTGGTGAAACCCCATCTCTACTAAAAATACAAAAATTAGTTGGGTGTGGTAGTGGGCACCTGTAATCCCAGCTACTCATGAGGCTAAGCCAGGAAGAATTGTTTGAACCCAGGAGGCAGATGTTGCAGTGAGTATAGATCATGCCACTACACTCTAGCCTGGCATGTAGCCTGGGTGACAGAGTGAGACTCCATCTCAAAAAAAAAAAAAAAGAGGGTACACAAAGGCACACTGTTCCCTAAGAGGACAGGCCAAGAGCTCTGGCTAGCAAAGAGTCTCAGTGAAAGGCCAGGCAGAGCTGGGCACAGTGGCTGTAATCCCAGCACTTTGGGAGTTCGAGGCGGGTGGATCACTTGAGGTCAGGAGTTCAAGACCAGCCTGGTCGACAACGAGAAACCCCATCTCTACTAAAATTACAAAATTAGCTGGGTGTGGTGATGCATGCCTATAATCCCAGCTACTCGGGAGGCTGAGGCAGGAAAATCACTTGAACCCGGGAGGCAGAGGTTGCAGTGAGCCAAGATCATGCCATTGCACTCCAGCCTGAGCAACAAGAGTGAAACTCTGTCTCAAAAAGAAACAAAAGAAAAAAGAAAAAGGAAAAGAAAAGAAAGCCAGGGAAAGGGTCACAGGGGAGGACAAGGCCCTGGGTCCTTCCCTCACCTGCCAGGGTCTCACTCTGATAGGAATCAAGAGGCCAGCAAAGCCACCTCCTGCGGAGG